AGAGTATATACACACACACACACACACACACACACACACACACACACACACACACACATACATACATATATCTTAAGGCCGTTCCACACTGAGCACGATGCGAAAAAGTGAGGCGAATCGCCGACGAACAGTGCTTTCACACCGAACACGAAACGATTGTTCGCCTTTTGCTAAGTCACGCCTGCACGCTAGGTGGCACCAACCAACAATGGATTTTTCCTCAGATATGTATCTCATATATGGATTTAACATTGTCCACTGCTCAATATACAGCATTAAATAAATATAGCTAAATAAAGTTAGGTTCTACGCCAGAAACACAAACTATCTATGATGCTTACAAGAAAACTTCGTAAAATATAAATAGAAGTACAATTAGCATCAAGCCACATTTGAAAATGTATGTAATTATTAATGTATTTGCTTAAAACCCACTTTAAACCATCACTGAGTGCTTGTAATAACTCCTGATTGGGATCTATATTTGATTTTGATTCTGGGCAGACATGCACTCTTTGTATGTTTAATAACGCCACACTGCTTATTGTCATAAACATCCTTTTTTGTTATAAAAAATACCATGAGCTGTATACAAAACACATACAGAAAAGATATTGTCATAATCATATGTCTACGTGCTTTCATATTTCATGTGTAGAAAAATGTTTCCCTCGATTTTATTAATATGGAAGATCTAGAGTGAACGCGCTCTGACTCATAACACTCGTACACGTGGAAGAAAACGGACACTCCAGATCACATAATTCAGTGGATAATTAATAGAAATTATATTAAGAACATGTAAGAATAAATCTGTTCTCAGATACCAAAAATAACAAAAACTCGTCATCCACTCTCTTCTCTCTCGGGATACTCTTCTTCTGTTCTGTGTTAGTAGTTTAACTGGTTTTCGAAACCACTCCTGCCTTTTTTTTGTGCAACAGCAGCTGCTCCGGTCACGTGATCCTAGCTCAACTCTTATTGGACGGCCTGTGTTTTCGCTTTGCGAAACTGAAAAGATTCATCGGACTGGTTCGAAAAAAAACATTCGCATTTTCGGCGGTCTGTGTAGTAGCATTCATAGGAATCTGTTGTTTTATTCCAGCGTGTCATCACGTCCGATATTCGTTTCGCTTTTTCGCACTCCGTATGGAAAGGCCTTTATATTTTAGCTTTCGTTAGTTATTTGCAAAAAACATTACATTAAATTATTTTTCCCCCCTCAATTGTGATTTCATATTGTAATGTCTATTGGGCCCAAACAATGGACCTTTTTCACATTTCCGGGTGAATGGGAGACTACCACAAATCTATATTTTTGCATTTCCATTTGCTCAAATAGCAAAAGAAAAACTCCATGATAGTGTTTTCAGGACTTTCAAAAAAAGGAGAAAAATAGAGAGACTGATAACGACAGTCAGTAGAGAGAACAACATCCAATTTACCATCACTCTCATAGACGCTGTTTAAGAAACACCCTTGCATTAGCGTTAACCTTTTTTTTTTTTTTGTAATTTGATGCAAAGGTAATATAATACAAAATATAGCATTATAAATGTACATAAATATAAAAAAAAAAATGAAAATACAAAAAACTTTGGAGGATTTACAATGCTGATGACCATTGAAACGTGTCATCACAGTCTTGTAAAAGGGTCCATGCTTGCATAAAATGTTCATTTTTAGTCCACTCAAAAAAAAAAAAAACCATGTCACCTAGCAACAGGACTGACCATCATAGGCAATTTTAAAGCGCTTTAATGCATTGTCAGCCTGGAAATTCCTCAAACAAAGGATTCCTCATCCTTCATATGTCTGTGTTTGCTTTCCATCAGGCCCTCCGTGTTCCAGCAGCCGGTCATCTTCTTGGGGGCTGATGTCACTCACCCTCCTGCAGGCGATGGGAAGAAACCGTCCATTGCAGCTGTGGTGGGAAGCATGGATGGACACCCTAGCCGCTATTGTGCCACCGTGCGAGTGCAAACCTCACGCCAGGACCTGTCCCAGGAACAGTTCTACAGCCAGGAAGTCATCCAGGATCTTACCAACATGGTGCGAGAGCTCCTTATTCAGTTCTACAAGTCTACCCGATTCAAGCCCACACGCATCATCTACTACCGTGGAGGAGTCTCTGAGGGCCAGATGAAGCAGGTGAGTCATCCGGAGGAGATGCATTGATTCAGACTGCAGCTGCATTGATAATATCTGAGAGCTGATTTCATTTGAATTAAATTAAATATGATTTTGAGATGGATAAATTATATGTTCAGTTTTTCTTCTTCAGGTAATATTGTTAATTGTCTTGTGCAGGTTGCCTGGCCAGAGCTGATCGCCATCAGGAAAGCTTGCATCAGTCTAGAAGAGGACTACAGACCAGGAATCACCTACATCGTAGTGCAGAAACGTCACCACACTCGACTCTTTTGCTCTGACAAAGCTGAGAGGGTGGGTTTCCAGTAGATGTTTTTTTACCGCACTCCTGTCTTCAGTGGCTATGTTTACATGCACCCAAATAATCCGTTAGTAATTGGATTGATGGCTCAATCGGACTGAAAAGCCTTCATGTAAACACCTTAATCGATCCGATTGAGTTCGATCTGAATGAAATTTTGATCGGATTGAAAGGGGTGGTTTATTCCTTTTCTAATATGACTGAGAGTGCATGTAAACACTTGATCGGATTGAAAACTGAAAGGACTGCGCATGTGCAATGATGCAGAAATAGCTGTTCTTCATGTTGTATAAATGAGTGTCCTGTTATTATAAAAACTCCTTTCACTCAGCGTCCCACCAGTCCTTGTTTTGTATTCTCATCCACAGACAACTGTCATTTTGCATTATTGACACTATTTTCCTAATTAATGCTGTTCAGTTGCTTTGACACAATCTGTATTGTTAAAAGCGCTATATAAATAAAGGTGACTTGACTTGACTTGACAACTAATTTTGGCTGCAGGGGAGTGTTTTTACTGCTTGATAAATATAAGCTGCACGGCACAGTGGTTTATGTGCTCATTGTCGCCAAATTATGACCAGAAATGGATAAATATTAAATCTGCTGTTTAAAACAAATAAAGAAACCGTGTAGGAGAATGGTTATGCGCAAACAGCAGGAAACTCATTCCGATTGATGCAAAAGTTGTGCATGTAAACATAGCCAGTGTCACATGATCCTTCAGAAATCATTCTAATATGCCGATTTGCTACTCAAATTTTTTTTTATTATAATCAATGTTGAAAACAGTTGAGCTGCCTATTATTTTGTGATAAGTGCAATATTTTTTTTACATTTTTTTTTTTTAGAAATCTTAGATTTAATAGAACATTTCAGAAACTGCATTTATTAGAAATGGAAATCTTTTGAACTAAGTAAAATAAATCTTACTGCCACGCTTTTGAACCATAGTGTATGATTACATTATGATTGTGTGTATAGCGTGTATGATTCTTCATTCTCAATCATATGTTAATCTTACATTTTTATTTATTTTTTAGGGACTGTATTTGTTTAACAGTTTAAGACGACTTCAGAGTGTTTTTGCTTGTTTTCCAACCTTTAAACTGCCTCGTCTTTGGTTAAAAACAAAAATTTGGTTTTGTTTCTGACTGTCTAAGTGGGCGGTTCATAGTCAGAAAATGCGTAGTAGACATGCAGAGCCAGACTTTAGCTCAACGTTTAAAGTATATGTATATGAAGCAAAAATGTGAGATTTCAGTGTGGGTGGACAACCTAGAGCAAACCCACCGGTTATATAAAGAAAGCATCAACAAAATCTTGTTGTTTTATTGTCATGTTCAGATAACACATTGTGTAAATCTTAAAATCAACATGAATGATGCATTCTTTTCTAATTCTTGTATACAAATTTCTTTGACTTAGGTCGGGAAGAGTGGCAATGTCCCAGCAGGCACTACAGTGGACAGCACCATTACACACCCCTCAGAGTTTGACTTCTACCTGTGCAGCCATGCTGGTATCCAGGTGAGTCACAGCCCAGTTGCTTATTTGTTAATTTATCCATTTGTCCATTCAAGATTTCACACATTTGCATTTCCTTCCCACAGGGCACAAGCCGTCCCTCTCACTATCACGTCTTGTGGGATGACAACTGTTTCACAGCCGATGAACTGCAACTGTTGACTTACCAGCTCTGCCACACCTACGTGCGCTGCACCCGCTCCGTCTCTATCCCCGCACCAGCCTACTATGCCCGGCTTGTGGCGTTCCGTGCCCGTTACCACTTAGTGGACAAAGACCATGACAGGTTATTAGCATATCATTATTAATGGGATGTTCTTGTAAAGTTAATGAATAGATTTTAATGCTTTCTGTATCATTTTCTGCGTGCAGTGCTGAGGGCAGTCACGTATCAGGACAGAGTAATGGCCGAGACCCTCAGGCCCTGGCAAAGGCGGTCCAGATTCACTATGATACCCAGCACACTATGTACTTCGCCTGACGTCAGCTAGCAGGAGACGCACTTCTACACTCCCTCTTCAATCTGTCTCTCTCTCTCTTCATCTTCCCGTTTCTCTCTATCGCGTCTTCGTCTGCAGCAAAGCAGTTCTGAAGCCAGGGGCCATCTGTCAGTCCAGTCGAAATTGGTCGGCCTCAGAAGAACCAACCTCTACCAGCAGTCCTGCACTGAGAGGCTTTTGGCCTCCAATGCACAGAGAGAAAAAAATCAAATTGAGCCATTTTTAACTTTTTCATTTCTTGTTTTGATTTTGAATGTCTTTTTAATTTGTAATATACACTGAGTGTGAGCAAACCTGCGCCATTGGTCAGGGCAGCTCTGGCTCTCTCAGCTAAGCTGGACTCTGTCTACTTTTACCTCAAGCCACCATTGGCTGAATCTTGTCACATGTCTTTTGGAGTGGGTGGGATGGATCTCGCATGTCGGGGATGGGGGGAGGTTGTGTTGACTTGGATGGATTTGTTGTTCTCCTTTTTATGGTCGTATTTGGACTCTCTCCTCTCAGTCTTTTACAAACGAGGTGACCTTGGTATACATACGCATTACCCGCTGCCATTTTGTGCGCTTGTGTGGGTGTGCGTGCATTCGTTCGTGTGTGTGTGTGTTTGTGTGAATGTAAGTTTGTCTCATGGCAGGCCACTGAAATGTTAAGGGAAATCTAGGAGCAAACTGCTGTAAATGCCTCTTTTTTTTTTTTTTATATTAACACACACACAGATATATAAAAATATATAAATATTTACAGCTCTATAAGCATATTCCACTTGATCTAACAGGCTTTCATAAGCTGATGGTTTTGTGTAGCAGTAGCATTACCCATAGTCTCTGTGAGTGTTGGGGTTGTCGGACCTGGGCAAACGGCTTGGTACAGGTGCCATTCTGCCTGTGGCAAGACTGGAAACGCATGCGTCTTATTCGGATGTTTATTTTACAGGGTTGAAAGGTATGGCCATTGCACAGTTACAGACGTAGCGCTAACACGCCATCTGATAGGCTAGGCTTGCAACATACAGCACTCTCCCTTCTTTTATGCATTTATACATAAGATTCAAATGAGATTTGTAAGAGTTTAATATAAATGTTTTTTTGTGGTAAACTTTAACAGTTTGTTAGAGTAGATAATCGTTGTTCTTGTCGTTCTTAATGTTGATATTGATCAGTTGTTTGCAAATCGGTCGCATAATTAATTGATCCAGGAGTCATTGTGGTTGTAAATGGAGAGTTTTTTTTTTATTTTTTTTATACAGCTTAAATTCTTGTAGCGTTGTGGCAATGGTAATGAGGGCCCAAAATGCTTTGGTTTGTCAACTTTTTTTTTTTTTTAAGTTTGAACTGATCAAAGTTTGAGTTTTAGATCATTTCTGAACCAAGTTAATGGAAAGCAAGTAGAGTGACAAATCAGAACTTTTTTGGGGGAATGTTCAGCAGTTATATGAATTTTACACTTATAGTCTGTTTATTACTTCTGTGTGTATATGAACTTTAATCTATAATATAAATCTGAATGAACTTTCTCTTGCATATTAAAAATAGGACACCATACATTAAGACACACAAGCATAAGCACTGCCTTTGGACTGAACGGCACTGACGGTGCAGTTTGAAGGGTCTCCAGCGCACACGCCTCGTCAGGGGGGCCGCTCTGCAAAAACCCTTTTGTAATAAACCATCCGTAAAGCAGCAGGTTTGCTATAAATGAGTTTGAGCACCAGCCTGTCGTTGGCGTGGACGCTGGTCCCATGAAAGAAGAACAGGAATTGGGCAAGGGCATCATATGCAATAAGTTGGATTTAAGCATCGAATGCTAAATAGTTTACTCGATGTCACAGCTTCCAGAGAAAAACGCGTTTGAGTAGTGTGTGTGTCCTTTTTAGGCATTTTCACTAAATTGTTACATGACATTTAATTCCAGTTTTTAACATGATATCATTGCAAAGCAATATAACCCAAAATCTAGGAACAATTTAAAAGCTGTAATACTTTTTGTCAATGTGGCTGTTGGTTGGATTCCTATTGCCATTTGTGTTTATGTACTTATTTTGCTTGTATCAATCAGTGGGAATGTGCATATGGTGGACTAGCTCTTTAGGCTATGTGGAACATTTTCAAATTTAAACTGTGCTCGCCTGCATGCCTGAGTATTGTTCTAATCTCTTATAAAATATTTATTATGGCGCATAAGTTTTTTTTTTTTTTATGCATAAATCAATACAGAGACTGTTTTGAGTAGCGATGTTGTCCGATCTCTTTTACAAGATTTAAAAAATTTCTCCAGAAATGTCACTAACTGATGAGGGACAGATTTGGGGGCTGAAGGGGTGAGGATGTTGGTCTTTGGGAGCTCCAACCCAAACGAGGTACTTTCTTCAATCACTGGGCCGCTAAGACTGACCTCCTCAACCTTTCTTTCCGTCCTCATGCTGATGAGGAGCCCTTTTACCCACTGTCTTGTTCCTTCTGCTCTTGGGCTCTCCAGTGCTGTGGCGCCGCCCTGGTGGCACCTCCACACATGCACTTCCTCTCTGCATGTGGTGGGCCCCAAGGGTCCACTACACAAGGATTACCTCTTAACTTTTTTTTTAACCCATTCTCTGTCCCCTTTAAAGAGAGCATGATTTTTTTTTTTTAATTCCTATTTGATATATATGGCTTTGTTATTTGAAAAATGTGTATTGTAATTTAATTTTGTTTATCTTACTGGTGTGTAGCTTTTTTGTGATGTTCTATTCTCGTGTTCTGAGCTGTGTGACTTGTCCAATAGCAATAGGGGCACTTTCTTTGACCTGCTGGGGAACGCTCCGGACTCCTGTAGCTTCTCCTATCTTGAGTGCCCCATCAGTTGCTGTATTGCTTTGACATTTAAAAAAAAAAAAAAAAAAAAAAATCTCCCCTTTTTTTTTTTTTTTTTTTTTTTTTTTCTC